AAAGTGCGCTGTGGAAACTCAGGGCATATCTCTGGAACTCAGTGGACACGAGCAAACAGATCTTGATGTCTTGTGATGGACATGACTCTGTGAAGACCTGCCAAGGACTTTCCTGGCTTCTAAGTGTTCTGCCAGTCACATACTGTAAGGAGTCTCTTCCTGGTGAGAGAGCTGAGCTCTCGGCTCTGCTTCGTCTGTTTACACCAAGATTAAATTCTGGGCCGTCTTGGTGTAATTGAATTGTCATAGACTACAGCAGCCTGCCACCAGATAAACTGCCCTAACTACTTGGGAGCTTTATTTGGACAAGTGCTGTGTGGAGTGTGTGTGTGTGTGCACGCGCATGCATGCACACACATACCATGTACTCTCCGAATTTCTCCTTCTCCTGCTATGAGCAACCCTGAGGTTCCAGAATCAGAACTGCCCAAGGTCCCATCTAACATTAGGGCAGCTTTGGAAAGCCAGGGCACGGGTCATGCTGGAGCCCATCACACACACACCATCTCTGTGCAGCTCTCTACCATCCTCTAGTACTTATGTGCCCTTGATGGCGCAATTGCCAACAGTTGACTGTTTTAATGTATGTCCATTGGCCGTGTAAGGGATCCCTTCTATTTGCTCATATTAAAAGTAGGTCAAGGGGGAGTCCTAGGATCCGTAAATGTGTTAATTCCCTTTTTCTCACTGTACCTACAATACCAGACACCAACAGCTTAAGGAAGAAGGCGATTATTTTGGCAAATGGTTTCAGAAGCATTTCAATGCATCTTGCTGGTGAAGGCATGGTAAATCTCATTTAAGGATGTCAATAGCATGTGGTGGTCTGTTCACGTCACAGCAGCCAATCAAGAGGTCCCACAGTTTCTCAAAAGAGCACCATCAGATACGGAGCAAAGTTCAGAATGGGGATGTATAAGGGATACGGCAGACTCCAACCATGACAGTAGGCAGATGAAGTGGCCCTTAGACTGGTGTCAAGAATGAGGGAGGGAAGGAGGGAGAGAGGGAGGGAGGGAGGGAGGGAGGGAGGGAGGGAGGGAGGGAGGGAGAGAAAGAAGATCAAAAGTCAGCTGACAGTTCATGCCAGGGAAGGAGGGGGCATTCAAAAAGAGGAATTTGGGGTTCCACCATGACCCTGTCTGGATTCTGCCGTGGGTTCCTGGCCACCCAGGAGACAAATTCCATGTCACATTCAAATGTTTTCTAATACAGTTGCCTTTCCTCCAACGCCAGCGTCTCCTAACGGAATTACACTTGGACAGAAAACACAATGGAAAATCAACCACAGTTTGAATACAGCTATGTGCTGAATGTATTCTATCTGGCTGTGGGTTTAGGAGTATATTTAGAATTCTTCTCTTTTCTAATTAAAGATGGGATTTCTGTCTGTGTGCATTCCTGGAATTGGCCATGAAAGTGGATCAACTTTCAAGGCTGGTAGTGATACAGAGCCTCTCTACCTATCACCGTGTGTCTGTGTAAGCAGCATCTATTTACGGACACAATTACACCCAATAACACGGTTTTTCAAATCTCCCAGTACTTTCTGGTGGCATTTCTAACAAGTTAAAGCACATCCTTACCTCAGTTTATAAAGTTGCCTTGTTCTTAAAGACATCACTGATACTAAGACAGCTTAGAAATTTAAAACTGACACTTAATGCAATTATCTCTGAAGAATCTAGATGAAGTAGACCAGCTACCAAAAAGAGATTCCTTGTATTATACTACTAATTCTGCTGTATTACCATAGACATTTTTGGATTATGTGTTATCATCCCCTTGATCAGCAAGCTCACAGGGATTGGTCTGTCACACAGATACCTGGGAGGGAAGACTAGAAGCCGGACTCACAAGTCTGTTTTCACCCCTTAACTTTCAGAGCACCATTTTATAGAGAATTTTTAATAAAACAATTTGAAGGAGTTTGGAAGAACAAATCTTTTTGGTGATAACCATGATGACTGTCCTTATTTCTGTGAGAGACAGTTAGGTTCTTTATTTCTTTCCTTAGTCCGTCTCTGTCACTAGAGCCTGCCTCTTGGTCCGCTGAGCTGTCTGAGGGAAGTCTGGTTTGACATCTCTTCCTCAAGGCAGTGATGACTGGACGCTATCGCACCCCACTCCTCAACCCTGGTGCTTCAGCTGGTGGCCCCTTCAGACTGGTCCCCAGTCACTGTATCTGCACAGGAGAGGCTGGGGATGTGGCTGATTCATTCATTGATGGTGGAGAGTGCTCACCCTGAGCTGTTTTAAACAGTCAGAGGGGGAGGGAACAGGGATGCTCAGATAACAAGTTATGCCCAGGAAGGAAAAATTATTTTATTTATGTATTTAACTCATGTGCCATGGCGTAGCCTGTAATTCCTGTCCTAGCAGACTGAGGCAGGAGAATTGCCGGAGTTCAAGGCCAGTTTGGGCTATATAGTGTATACCAGGCTAGCCCAGGCCAAAGAGTAAGTGTGTCTTAAAGACCACTCCTGCTTACCGCCTCCACCATGACCCATGAAAAGCCAGAGTGATATCATGGACCTGTAACCCCCCAACCACCTGGAGGAGCTTGAGGCAGGAAGGTCAGTATGAGCTCCAAGCTCAAAAACAAAGTACATATTTTAAGAATTTAAGTGTTAAGAATGGGAAACCCAAAGATTGTAAAAATGAGAACTAGGAAGTCAAAGAGACAAGAGCGCCTCACTGTAATTAGATGTATGCAAAATAAAATTAAAGGCATCCTGGTCCGTGAGTGACTCCTCAGCTAATGAGTCCTCCGCTGTCTGACTCAGAACCGGTTTGTTTTGCAGGATCCTTTAATCACTGCAGCAGGAGGCCTCGCCTGGCAGCCAGCTCAGGCAGCCCAGGTGACCAGGAGAGAGGGAAGGCTGTGCCTTAGCACACAGCAGTTTCCCTTCGGGCAGTCTTAAATTTTGATCAGTCGCAGCCTCAAGATTGGACATGATTGATGTTTTTCCCTTCAGAAATGTGCAAATTACCCACAAAGTGATGGCTGTGCAGGGACACCTGGGGGGTCCTCAGCCTGGGCTTGTCGGAGAGGGTGTGGAGCCCTGGGGAAGCCAGCCACCTCCTCCTCTCCCACAGCGAAGGGCCTGGCATTCCGAACTTACCAGCTGCATAATTCAGTGATTGTCAGAGAACCTCAGCAGCAAATTCTTTTATAAGGTCCAGAGTCACGGCTCTCTGAGACGCTAACACATAGAATAGCTTGAAATAAACTCTGAAAAATGGAAGCGCCGTGTGAGGAAAGGACCCTAAAAATAGTTGACATTGGTGTGTGGAGTTGAATGGAAAGGCCTTCCGGATTTCAAGAAGTACTATAGAAAGCTGTTTGTCTTTGAACTTTGAACTAGTCTTTCCGTTAAAGATAGCAAGCCTGGGTATCGGGCTTAGAAGTGCACACGCGCCTCACAAAATAGTCCTTTCTCTCTGACTACTGCGCAGCCAAGGTTTCACCAGATGAAAGCCCCTGAGCTGAGCATGTCGATCTGAACCTTTCTTCTCCCAGAACACTCCCCTGGAACTGGTCTCCTGGGTGTCTCTGCTCATCTAACTTTGTTTTGTTTTGATTGGCCAGACACATAGCCACCAGGGAATCCTCCTCCTCCTGAGCTGCTTCTGTGGGAATCTGTGAACACACAGACACCCTCTTGGCGACCTGAAGCAGCCATCTTTGTTCCTTCAGCCTCCCGAATAAGGCAGCAAGGGATACTGGTCAGGGTGGCTCTTGGGCTTGCACACTGGCCACACCAGTGGCCTCGTCAAGCAGATTGCCGGCCTGCCCTGAACTTCCAGCGTAGGATCTCTGGAGGACCCAGGAATCTGCGTCAAGGGGTACAGTGCTGCTGGCTCAGGCACTCCCTGCACTTGGGAAGTCACTGAGCTGAGGACAGCAGGGGTTGAGGCTGGGTTATTCATCACTGGGGCAACTACCCACCCCAGTGTGCTTGACAGCAGCAGAATAAATCAGGCACCTGCTGGAATATCCCTATAGGTCAGAGTCAGGTGACCCTGTCCGAACCTTATTCCTGTGCCCTTGAATTTGGTCCGTATTAAAATGCAAATGTTCATTGGAGGAGGATAAGGAGTTCATTCAACAAACATTCATAGAGTGAGTTTTCTACAGACCAGGTGCCTAGCTGAGTTCAACGGATTCCAAAATAAGAGCCCAAATGTAGTATAGACACAAAGCAAATTCCATAAGAGTTTTCACTATGGTGGGGGACAGTAGGGTGAGTCAGTGTTTATAGTGTTATCAGCATTTACCATTCATGTAAGGTAAGAAGTAGCAACATTTGCTTAACAATAAATGACGGGGCTTGAGGGCTGACATGGGCCCGGTGACCTGTTCAGTCATTTATCACCTACAAGATCGTGTCTTGCTCCCAAAAATCATTGCTGGGGAACCGGAGAAAGTGACTTCTCAGAGAAGTTGACTTCCCAGGGACCGAAGATCAGGAACACTGGTGACACAGTGGAGTCAAAGTAGCGATTTGCCGTGCAATGAACACCCAGTTTGCTAATGAGATGTCACCCCAATCGTGCCCTCCTTTTCCCACCGTCTCTGAGCTCAGTGTACGGTCCTCCAGAGCACACCTCGCTTTGCATGGTAAGCTCCCACTGGACATGTGCAATGTGTATTCAGATTTCGTAAGTTCACAAATTGAGAAAGGAGGTTCGTATACTCAACGTGGCCCATCATACTTGAGCATTTTCCAGTAGCTGAATCGAGGGTCAGTGTGGGAAGGTTGAAATATCTCCGTAGTCATGTAGCCTCAGGGGGTGGCTCCCATGTTGGACAGCACAGCCCAATGCGTATCTGTTCTTCCAGCAACATTCAGACTCGCAGATCCGGTATTGTATTAGGTCAGCGTGTGGACTTAGGCCAGCTTGGTCCCTTGGTCTCCTCCATCCTCTGGTGTCTTCGTGGCTCATCAGTTATGATGGCCTGTAACAAACCTAGCTCAGTCTGTTGTGTCTTCCAGGGTCCACAGCTTCGTGCTTGTGTCCGCGTGCGACCGTGTAAGGAGTGGTGCCTCTGGTGACCGCTGACATAACCTCTAGGCTAGGGAAAGAGAGCATGCTGGGTAGATGGATGCATGTGCACATTGATTAACAGACTTACGACAGCAGTGCGTTCCTGGTAGGTGCACACCCCCTTGCTTTAACATAAACTAACTTTGTTTCGTTGTCATCGAAAGTTTGCCAACCCTGTTCTTCAACAAGTTTATATTTAATATTTATGTACAGAATCTTTAAAAAATTATATGTGGAGTCTTAACTCCTCTCCTGCAAAAAAAAAAAAATAATAACCCCTAGGAACCAAAAGTAGGGCTGTATAAACCAGGGACTATAGAATGGGTCATTGGGAAAAGTTGGTCAAAAGATTTAAAAATTCAGTTTGATAGGTTAGAAACAAGGTACTGAGTTCTTGAAAATGGCTGGCAGTGGTTGTTGTGTTCTCACCCGGAGAGCAAGAAGTAATTCAAGTTACACATGTGGTAGATAACTTGTTTAATAATTTGTACTTGTTGCAAAACATTGGTTGTACTCCATAAATACGTTCTGTTCCATTAGTCAATGGAAATAAATATTTTTAGAGGCTAGTTTGTCATGATAATTTGGAAGCTCAAATTCTAATTGTTTTATCATAACTCTTAAGCGGGAATCCTTTCTCGAAACCAAGAGCATCACCGTATGTGGCTTCCATGAATAAAGATCGCTGGGTCTCTGTTCTTGCCGTCTGTGCAGAAGTGCCTGGGTTTGCCTGTTTCCGTCCTACCTATGAAGCCTGTGGGGAACTCTGCTGCCTTTGAGGACGGCGTGTACCCCATCTTTGGTGTTTTGTAGCCTGCCTAGGACTTGAGGGCTTTATGTAATGTTTCCTGAGCATGGACGAAATATGTCTAGAACACTGTCTGAGGTCCCTTTATCACGGAAGCCCCTCTGCTTGTGAGCAGAAACGTTTCCTTAGCTCTTGCTTCCCCCACCCTTTGTTCTCCACCAGGTTTGGCGGTGGCGTGGAGGTAATGAAGCTCCAGGTCCAGGCTAGCTGGGGAAACCTGATGCCGAGTAAATTTGGTTATTAAACTCATCTTCCTAAGCTCCCTCGCCTAAGCTACTTGATGTTGTGAACAGACACTGCCAAACAGACAAGTGGGAACCTGCTTGGCTCCCTCAAATATTTTATAATTGAAGAGAGCTACGTGTCACAGCTTTTTTCCTTGCCCGTTTCCTTCCGTGCGCACACGTATATCGCCCATGCAAGTCCTTTCACAGACAAATGAGAGAGTTGAGAGGTGGAAAACGCAGTTCCCACCCTCCTGGGAGAAGTCAGATAACCGTACAGGATGCCACTGTGGTCTCTGTCGTGAAGAGACGTAGCAGCTTTCTCCAGAATGGAAAAGCCCCAACCGCAAGAAAGTCTGCTTGGCTTGGTTTGCCCAGAGTTAAAACTCACTTTTTCTGGGAACATTTGTGAACAACTCAATTACTGCCCTCTGAACTTACATAGTGCGTGCTGTTTTGAAATACTGTTAGTGTCACTAAGTGTGGGGTGTATTCCGCTAAGTGCGCCATTGGGTGATCACACTGTACCCGCACCGTCAGAGGTATGCTTGCACGCTCAGATGATGAAGGTCCCTCACTGGAAGCGACCTTTTGATGCAGTCAAGAGTTGTGTTGAACACAAATGTTTGAGGCTGCCAGTTATGAAATGTGTATACCATGTGCAATGAACACTTTCTAGTTACCACAGAGAGTGTCTTCCGAAGTGACATAAGGTACAGTCGATACAAAACAGTAGCAGGCCCACTCCCAACCACTGGGTGTTTATGCTGTCCTTCTACATGACAAGCAGTCAAGTGGGCTTGTCTGCACCAGCGGCGTGCAAACACATGTAAACATATCACACTGGAACGTTATGCTGGAAAGTTAAAAGTGACCAAGACCTCATTTGGCCGTGGGAACTTTTAAGCACCATTCTAAGTTAATGGCAATGTTGCGTGAGTGGTATGCCATTGGTAGAACCCCCCTAAAGGGGTCAGCATGACTGGTCTGTTTCCCATCTTCATGATGTGCCCTTAGCTGTGACTTTGTAGAAGAACAAGACTGATCTGATGTATATGGCAGTTTATGTTACTTACAATTTCTGCAAATGGTCAGTTTGCAGACTATAGTCTTTTATTCATGTTTATCTTGGTAGTGTCTGATTATAATGTTATTAATTTCATAATTCTTTCGAAATTAAAGTAACTGAAAACTGATGACCTTAGACATCTGCACTTTAACTTATGATATTGTCGTAGGTATGCTTTTTAATCTTGACGTTCTAAATACAAAAGAACGTTTTTTATAAAATTTATGATATTTTTAAACTTTGTGTGTGAACAGTGTGTGTGGATCAAAGAAGAACTCTTAGAAGTCTGTTCTTTCCTTGCACAATATGGGTCCTAGAGATGATGCTCAGCAGCGAATGCCTTTACCTGCTGAACTGCCTTACCAGCCTGGAGAGGGTTCTGTTAGGTTGTGTCTCGATTAAAACTTAGGTGAACTTAATTCAAGTTAACTTGCATTCATCCTGTTCTAAGCTCAATTGGTCAACAAGTACTTCTTGAGATCCTAATGGAGACCGTGAACCAAGTCACCTGGGAAACAGGTCCAAAGCATTGCCCTTACCTAACAACAGGCTGCAGGCAAGACAGGCACCAAGCAAGTAGAAGTGAGATGTATTCGGAGTTCAGAGAGCCCCATTTAGGAGTTCAGGAGGTCCCACTTACCCGTTTCAGCATCAAATCTCAATAAACTGAAAAGAACTCATGGAATAGGGAACCCATGCCTTATCCAAAATAATATCATCTCCATTTTGTAGGAGAGATACATCCATACAGTTGTTTATAGCGTTCCCAACAATAAAATCAATGACCTAAATGTGAAATTAATTGGGAAGCACAATTCTAATACACTGTTTGGTGATTAAGCACATTAGATGGAATTGTTTCAGAGGGCCTAATTATTGTGTCTGCCACACTCATCTGTTTGAGTCACTCCTGACTCTTGGACCGCTGCCTAGATCACCCTGCTGCACAGTGGTATTTGCTTCCAGGACGCCTTCCTCCTCGCCTCTGTCCCCTCCTCCTCCCCCTCCTCTTCCTTCTTCTTCCCCTTCCCTCATGGTACTCAGGAAAGCTCGGAGGTCTAGCCTATACTTTCACGAATTCTAGCTCCGAGCTTCGTAGACAGCTCAAGTGTTGGATGCCTCTGAGATCGGATGCAGGTCCATGTCTTAGGTTTCGCAGGTTTAGTGATTTAAAAGTGCTTTGCGGCATCACTTTTGCTGGCGGCAGCTCTCTGGACGCCCTTCTTGTGTTCACTTCCTGTGGGCTTTTTTTGTTTGCTGGATGGGTTGGTTGGTTTTTGTCAGACGCACTTTACCCTGACTCTGTGAGTGGATGAAGTCATCTGACATGTCTAATCCTGTCATTTCAGAGTTTAAAAAGGACAAAGGAAAGGAAAGCATCATCTCGCCCAAATACGAAGATCTGAGAGGCGTGTTTTCCAACATCCTCCAGAGCTGGGAGCATCAGAACTAATATTTTCCCAAAGAGCGCCATTGCATCGAAATCAGTTTATCAAGGAGAGGTGTATCAGCAAACAGTCAGGAGGCTAGAACCCTGGGAGCCAGAGATGACAGTGAGCACACTTGGCCTGTGGCTCGCAGTCTTCCAGTGGGGCCTGTTGATCGGTGAATGACCACCTGCTGATAAGTTGTCTCTTCCCTGTTTTCTGGATTGAACTTCATTAAGGAATTCATTACTTACCTTCAGACTTACATGTGGGAGTTTCCACAGTAGTTCCTTGGGGGTCATTGAGACTTGGATCGATTTCATCATTTAACAGAAAGGAACAGAATCCAAAGTCCTTCTCATCATGGCCTTGAACGTTGCCCCAGTGAGAGACACCAAATGGCTGACCCTGGAAGTCTGCAGACAGTACCAGAGAGGAACATGCTCACGCTCCGATGAAGAATGCAAATTCGCTCACCCCCCAAAAAGTTGCCAGGTTGAAAATGGAAGAGTAATCGCCTGCTTTGATTCCCTCAAGGTAAGGCAATCATTTTACGTGCTGAGTTGGGCTTGCAAAGGGGACACTTTGCATTGCGCGCTGTAGAGTTTGCCATTCACTTCGGTTCTGTTTTCTTTGTGATGGCTGCTGGGAGGTGTGTGTTGTGTTTTCGCTCAAACTTACTCATACCAGGAATACATAAATTTTTACCCATCTGTGTTGACATTAAAAATACATGGTTGTATATCTCTGGTTTGGGATGGCATTCAGGTACCCAAGGATTTCACACAAAAGCCAGGCTATTGACAACTGAAGTAAATGTTCCAGTCACATTTGTTCTTCTCTGGGTTACATAAAGGTGAAGAAGCCACACCTGTCACTTTCATGTGCCCGTCACTGTGACTCACATCTCAAACAGTCTCTCTTCTCGTGGCTTCCATTCTCAACCAGAGCCTTCCTAAAATGTTTCTGAAGAGGGTTTTCATTCTCTCTCTTAAAATGTTTTATGGCTAGCAGAAATTACCGAGTGCACACTCAATACTGTGTTCTCGGAGAACCTACTGTCGGTCAGGAATGCATCAAAGAACTCAGTGTGGTTCTGATGTCCTCTTGATGAGCTCATGTCTGGCGGGAAAGTAGGGCACAGCGGCAAATAATTGTGGTGCAGGAAGAAAGATGTGTGCCGCACAGGAATAAGACATCACGCTTCCACAGGGGACCTTTCCAGAAAGCTGGCTCCTGGCTGACAGGGAATGTTTCAGGAGGCTGGCCTAGCCCAGTTTTATAATGGGTTTGGTAGAATTTGGGTTTGAAGAAATGGAAGATTCCAATGACAAAGTCTACTTGGAAGATGTGGGATGATTTAGCTTAGCTCTCTTTGAGGCTTACTGCAGCTCTAAAATTATGCTGCTCCGAATTTCAGATAGGCTCAGGTAGTCTTAAGTGCACAATGACGTCATACTGGAGATGGTTAAGACATACCACCTTAATGTTTCTGCCTGTGGAGAACTCCAAACATATTTCTCATGCTCTCGGCATCCTATCTGAAAAGCCACAGAAGTGGCCCAACCCCATTCTCAAGTGTTTGAGGTGATTAAATCACATGTCGAAAATTATGTCTCAAACCAGGGAAGTAGCTCAGTTTGTAAGGCCCTTATCCAAACCGGAACTTGCACGTAGAATTCTGGTGGAAAAATAATGAAATAAAAGAAAGGGGCACCCGTGGTGGAGCTCCCAGCCAGGACTTTAGTTGCTCGGGATGTTATATACATTGTATCAAACTGTAAAGACCGTGAAGGCTGCCGACCGGCACAGGGGAAGCTGGGCCTCAGTCTGAACACCTGCTCGTCCTCCACCCCGTGCTCCCTGGCTTGTTTACGATTGCTGACTTAAGGCCCTCAGCAGCAGTGAGAGCATGTACTGGTGGCAATGGCAATGGCGGACACCACTGCTGGCATGCTGGCTTGCTCACTCTGCGGCGTTGTTTTTAAGATTAAGTCCCTACCACAGGTCACACAGCTTACATATGCGGGAAGTAGTACCTCAAAAAAAAAAAAGATGAGGCTAATCCCCCCCAAGCCACGTGTCTCTTTCATTTAGCACAGGTTGATCTTCCCTTATTCAGACCTCCAAAGGCTGAGACTTTTAAACCACTGCTATAATTCCACCAGTAGGGGATTCTACATCTGACTTCATGGGATGAGTTATAGTCAAAATTAGGGGGGGAAGAAATAAGGTTTCAAATCTGGAAAAAAAAAGTCTGAAATACTTCTAACCTAAAGCATTTGTGGTGAAGAATATCCAAACTGTCTGTTAAACGGGATGCCACTGTCTGTGAAGCTGCCTGTAACAGCCTTCAGTGACAGTCCCTGGGCTCGGCCCCACATCTTAATAGAAACGTTACTTTATCCCCTTGACTTCAGCTTCCTGTTGTTTAGAGCTGATGCTGTTCTCACCTCACAAGGTTGCTGTGAGTTCCGCCCGACTCCCCACATCTGTGTCCCTACCCAGGGCTGAAGATGTCAAGAAGTAGCCCCGCCCTTCTCTCTCCCTTCCTCAAGTGTCCCACAACTGCTGCTGGTTTGGATGAGGGCCTTAAGGGAAGGCAGCAGCTCTTCGGTCCTACAAATCAGTCGCAACATCAAAAGATAATAATGATAAGATGTGCGATTTTGATGCCATCTGCTAAAAGATGTTTTATAAACACTATGGGAGTATTTGTAACTGGGAGAGGAATCTGCTGCTGTGTCAATAAAAGGACCACACATCTTTTTTTTCCCATGTTGTTATATTTGCACATATGGTTAAACTTTCCGTAAGTACACGCTAAAACAAATTTGTGGGTGTTGAAAAATAGTTTGCCGAGGTGTTTGGAAGGTATGCGGGACGTATAAAAATGCTTTAATATAAGCTGCTTAGGAAAAACACGTCACACTTCTGACAGCGCCGTTCGTCCGTGCGTTTCCTGCAGGTGGTGTGAAGAGGGTGCAGGCAGCTGGGGTTCTGTTCTGGAAGTTCCAGTCCAGGTGTGAACTGACATCACACCAGCGACTTCCAGGACACCTTCCGTTCTGGAAGACTGATGCACGAGTTAGGTGACCCCACAGAGGCCAAGCTGGACAAGACTGTGGCACAGGCAGAGAGTCCACCTGCTGCCAGGGCTTTGACCTTGACCAAACTGACCCCGTGTCTGTAGTCCCTGAGATGCTTTCCCTCATGGTTGCCATGTTTGGGGATTTCCTGCTCAGATTCTTTTCCTTGTAACTGTCAGGAATTCATCTGAACTACTTTGCAAACGGGAACATCTGGAAAGAAATACGTGAATTAACTCTAATGTTTATTGAGACTGAGGGTTTCAGTTTTCTTAACAGTTGAATCCAGCCTTTAAACGGGAAACCAACTGTTAAAACTCCTATTGCTAATTTTGGTTGAAAATATTCTCGGAGTACTTGAGAAAACTGTTTAGACAAGTTTTGGAACCTTAGCTATTATCTTAGTAAATAAAAATTAGTTAATGGGCCAGGGAGATGGCTGTCTCTACAGTGGTGAATTCACATCTCCAGCACCCATGTGAAAGCCAAGCCCATGTATGGCCCTGTGTTTCTGTAACCTCAGCCTTAGGGAGACAGAGACAGGCAGATAGATCCCTGGGGCTCACTTGACAGCCAGCCTAGCTAAAATGTCAAGTTACACTCACACGCTTGCATCCCTCAAGTGCATGCACACAAATGCACACATGCACACACATGTGCGCACGCGCATGCACGCATGCACACATACACCCCACAGACACATGCACAGAAGTGCTAGTCCCAGGGAAGAGGGTGCTGTGCTTCTGGCAGCCCCGTTGGAGGTTGCTCCCCCCCCGCCCCCCCGTTCAGGGCTTTTGAGTGACTCTCCACCTCCTGGAAGATAACTGGCTGGTCCAGCGAGATGTCAGCATCCTACACCAGCCACCTGGCTTCCTCTGACTGCTGTCTGCTACTCTGGACACCTAGGTCTCCACTCTCCTCTCAGCATACCCAGCAGGCTTGGCTTCTGGGCTGTTGGTTTCTCCCTTTGCTCTGCTTAGTCTTCTTGCTTCAGTTCTGTGAGCAGTTTGTCCTCCCATGCCCTTCAGCAGCGTCTCTAAAGCCTGGCAGTTATTAGTGAGGCTTCCTGACAGTTCCACCAGGTCTGGGATGCCATTCCCGTTCCCTAGACCTTCTGGGCTCCCTGACACCTTCTTGTTTGGGGGCATCTCACCCACCTACTTGCTCTATTCTTTGGGAACCAAAGCTGCATTAGGATGGGGCTTGTGTCTAATTGGTTTTAATAATAAAAGCCCAGAGTCAGATAATAGGGGGTGAAAGCTGAAAGATCAAAGAAGCAGAACAGCCAGCAAGTTCTTCCCTCTGTGAGTTCCTCAGACCGTATAGGGCATCTATCCTGTCCTAGTCGGTAGACTGAATGTCTTGAGCGCCTGTCTCCTCCCGCCTTACATTCCTCTCTGCGCCCAGCTATATCCCGTCCTGTCTCCACCTCCCTAAGTGTCGGGATTAAAAGCCAGTGACTCCCAAGAACTGGGATTAAAAGTGTGAGCCACCACCACCCTACTCTGTTTCTCTTTTAGACTGGATCAATTTAGTGTAGCCCAGGGTGGCCTTGAACTCACAGAGATCTGTCTGCCTCTGCCTCCTGGGATTAAAGTGCTGGGATTAAAGGCGTGTAGCACCATTGCCTGGCCTCTGTGGCTAACTAGTGACTTAGCTCTGCACTCTGATCCTCAGGCAAGCTCTATTTGTTAGATCACACACAGTATCACCACAGCGTCTGCTAAGATTGCTGTGGTGCCCCGGAGCCTAGAATGGTATCGTGTATAGTAGATGTCAAATGGTAGGAAGTGCTCATCACAAAAGCACGCCAACTTCTCGGAGGAGGTTGAGGTGTATGATTGTATGGGGTGGGTTCCACTTTGGGGGTGTACTCCGTCAGTGGAAAAGCTGTGCAATACTTAGCCTGTGGACGTGGACGGTGGCCCTAATGCAGGTAACACAGCAGCGTTTAAAACAGGAAGTTCTCTGCAGGGACTTCCTTCCAGACAGGCGTGACTGTGGAAGAACAAGGTCCCACTGAGAAACGGATGAACCATTTGCTCTTTCCAGCTGCGGGTCTTGTTGTCACGCCTGCCTTTTCCTACTTCCGACTCTTCCTAAATGCTCGGATGAGAGAAAGGGGTCTCGTTATTTAATGGGGTGCTGGTCAGAAGCGACCTGATGGTACAGTAAGCTACAATTCAAGCTTACAATTTTGGGGTAAGAATTTCAGAATGAAAACGAAGAGAAATTTCTTAAAATCATGTCAAAATATATAATTGGCTTTGACCTGAAGCTCGAGTGCTTGAGCTGCTGCTGCCTTGTTAAATTGAGGCTAATTATTTGCAGTAATTAACTTGGGTATTTTGTAAACCAGCTACCTAGTTTTGACCTAGATTACAAATGCAATCTCAGACATTTTTAACTTTTCAGTAGTGGTCATTCCAGTCGGATGGCACTGGCAAT